TATAGGAAGCCTGAGGCAGAGTTGCTCTGCCCCAGGCTTCCTGGAATCAGCCACTGATCAGTTTCAGCAGCAGCTGACTTGGGGACGCCTGGGTTTCTTAAGTTGAATCTGTATGTAAGTCAGAACTGGCCTCCAGATTCAGCTGCGGTTGAAACTGATCAGTTTCAGCAGTGGCTGACGCGAGTTCCGACTTACATACAGATTCAACTTAAGAACAAACCTACAGTCCCTATCTTGTACGTAACCCGGGGACTGCCTGTATAAGGGGAAACTACCATTCAGCAGTGAAATCCCTCTATGTTCCTCAGAAGAACAGCAATAGAATCAGAAAAATAGAAATAGATGCAATGAAGCTGTGATGTGCTACAAAGGGGCTTAACAAAATGTTTAACTACAATAAGATACAAATCATAGATATTTTTAACAAATACCAAGATACAACTGCATTCAATGTTAAAGATCTGGTAAACATTCTAGACGTCTAAGTTTTAATATCTTCTGATCTTAAAACATCTTAGATGTGTACCTGCTCTGCATTCACCTGCAAATTCACACAAAACAATATTTAAATTCTTGAACAGCAGCAAGCTGAAAGTGATTGCTCATCACTGATTGGGACATACAATGAAAGAAAATAGTTAGAGATTAATTCAAATACCAGGCTTCTTCTTTAACAACTCCACACTGGACAGAGGCTCCCGTAACTCCACACTATCTCATCTGTCCCTTGTCTATTATGTGACAGATAAGATATTTAACAGAGTTGTATGTGGGGTTACAGGTCTCCCACTAGTAACCAGGATCATACTTAATCATACTTCTGAATCCTGTCACAATCTTCCCACAAAGGGGAATCCAAGTCTGCCTTCAGACCATTTCTCCAGTTAGTCTATATGAGTTTGAATTTTAATCCTATCCTCTCTCAGCTTGGCATCATCCATACACTTTAGAAGTGTTCTCTATGCCACTACATTGGTGAAAAGATATTCAACAGACCAAGATGAGAATGGAACCCTGCAGGACCCCACTTGATATGACCTTCCAAGCTTGACTGTCAATGATGGCAAATACTCTCTCTGAATGGTTTTACATACAGTTACGCACCCCACTTTACAGTAGCCTCCATCTAGGTTGTAGTTCCCTATTTTGTTGACAAGGTTATACAAGATGGTATATCATACACCTTATTAGCATCAAGATACACCACTATCCTAAAGGCTTGTTACTCTGTCAACGAAGGCTATTTGGTTGCTTTCTCATGATTTGTTCTTGACAAATCCACATTGACTGTTACTTATTACCTTATTTTTCAGGTTTCTGGAAACTGATTGGTTAATTATTTGCTCCATTGTCTTTCTGGGTAGTGATGCTTACTGGTCTAATTCCTTAAGTTGTCTTTTTCCATTTTTTATAAGTTAGCGAATATATAGTAATTTTCTAGTCCTCTGGAATTTCTCCAGTCTTCTATGACTTTCAAAGATAATTGCTAATGGATCCCATATCTCCTTGGTCAGCTCCTTGAGTATTCTGGGATGTATTTTATCAGGCCCTGGTGACTTGAAGAAATCTAAATTGTCTAGTTAATTTTAACTCAATCTTTTCCTATTTTAGTCTGCTATCCTACCTCACTGGCATTCATTAAGTTAGATGTCAAATTGAGACTAAATTTTATGGTGAAAACAAAGTCATTTAGCACTTCTGCCATTTCCACATTTTCTATTATTATTTCCCACTCCACACCAAGAACAGGGCTTTACAACTCTAGCTCGCTTAAACTAATTTTGTGCCTTGGCCTTTCTAATTTTGTCCCTGCATACTCACATTATTGTTTATTCCTTTGACCTAAATTCCAATCACAGTTTCCTAATACAAAAAAAATTCTAGTCCTTATGTGGCCCGACTCAATCAGCCAGTTGATAGCCGACTTCATCAGGCATGACCTACTTCTAGAGTCCTGAGACCTGATGGCACTTACCCTCCCTGGATCAGGCACATGTAGCTAACATCAGAAAGGAAAATAATTAGATACTCTTGAACTTAGGTGGGGTCCCCTTTTCCTGCACATGGACTAAGAGAAGCAGCTGCACACCCCACTCCTGTTGGCTGCCTATACCCTGTTGTGCTGAGTATGTCTGCATAGAGAGTGCACACTGAATTGAGCAATCGCAGAAGCACTCATCTCTCACTACAGAGCATCCAAGGATGGTAGCAGTGAACAACAGGGCACTCCACCACTATCTTAAGATAGAGGCACTAACTTAGCCTTTAAAAATGAAGACCAAGCGGATCTTTACTTACGTCCATCTGAAAAGGCCTTATGGAAATGGCAGCCATCTTAACAGAGAAACTATGGCTTCAGACCTTTTCTAATTGATGTAACAACAGCCATTGTGAAGACAAAATTAAGAAAAGCTCATTAATCACACTTCCCTTAATTACAAAACTTTTTTTTCATATGTATCCTATTAAGTTTCCAAAATTTCAACTATACTTTATATTTGCAACTAGTCATTTGTTACTTAGGAGGATCTAGAAAAAAGGAAAATGGACCAACGAAAATTTCTTGAAAGACCCATCTGAAGTTAAGTTTTAATTCAAACAGTTTTCCTTTAAAGTCCTTCAACAATCCATTTCACTGCCAGATGCATATCAGCTTTCTTTAAGAAAACAGATGAGGAAAAACGTATCCTGTCCCATGGAATTTGGCAAAAGACAGTTTCAGACAGTTAAATGGACTATCCAGATGAAAAATTATGAAGAAAATAATGACAAATGAATGAGAACACTACTGTCAAAATTGTAACCTTTCTGAAGATAACTGCAGATGATACACAGTAGGGATGTTAGATAGTGATTAATTGAACAGTTGTGTAACCACACAAAATATGATCAGTTACAGTGCGCTCGGTCCCACTCCCGGGGAGGCAGCAGCCCCTGTCAGCAGGGGTCCAAGCTCCCTAAGGACAGAAGCAGCACTGACATCCCATGGAGCAGCCTCTATCCACAGGAAGCCTGGGCCCGGCACGGACAGAGGCTGTTCCACAGCAGTAGCCTCTGCACCGCCTCTGCTCCCCAGCACCGCTGCCTCTTGTAATACCACTACAGGAATGAAGAGATACCTGTCAACCAATTGAGCACAGGAGGGCTTGAGGAGAGTTGCTTCATGGGATGCCAGCACAGTCTCTGTCCACAGGGAGC